AAAGCTTTGACCAATACACAAATATCTATTAACCCTATCACGAGGCCACGTTATCACATTTGATGACTTGCATTCAAAATTTTATTGAACTACTATTTTATGAATCTGTCAACTAGTTTGGTGTCAAATTGTAGATTATAATTCTAATTTTAGTATTATATGTTAGTTAATTTATTAATTTAAAAGTAAATATTAAAACAATACGACTAAACATCGATTTTTTTTGTGTCACGTGGTATGTGGAATGCAGCACTGGTTCAAATTAGATGTTTGTGATGTCAAAATACAAAATCTACAATTTTGTACGAATTACGACCAATATTGACAAGCTAGAATATAAAATAAGAACTTTTTATGTTTTCTATTTGCTAATATATCACTCATGTACTGAATAAATTTTGGAAATGGTCCCTTATATACAATTACTTCTATATATGACATGATTAACTATTCAAAAACTCAGAATGTCCCCTTGTCATTTTCTCAGCCATTTTGATGTGTTATTGTGCTAATTTCTTTCTTTTCACACAAGATTTCAAACAATGAGGTAAGTCTTTAGTGAGATCGAAATTTCATATATTTTTTTAGACCCAAATAGAGCTTAGTTACTATGCTTGATAAATTACAGTGGAATTCTATGGTATCAATATTGTAATTTATGATTTTTTTGGTTATTTAAAATGTGTATATATATATGAAACCTAAAAAAATTTTTCTTTTCACATCCTCCACGTAGGAAATTTCATAATACTTAGCAACCTACAACAAGCAGCAAAGGAGTACAAAGGTCATAACTAGCAGAGATAATTGTTTGCTTGACCTTGTTATTTACTATTATGATGTAAGAAAAATAAGTTTAAGAACTTATTTGTAAATAGAAATAATGCATATACATATATAATGTATAGTAACTGAAATGTGACTGTATTTTACAAAATACTAGTCCACTAAAACACAGCCAAGACAGGTCACTTTTTAAAGACTAAAGGTCAATTATATATTACTGGATATGGTAACACAGTTGCATGTGCACCACATCATTATAACTTCTGTATTGTTAGACTGGCATAGCTAGAAAGTCAATATAATAAAATAATAAATATATAATGATACGAGATTTAAGCTATTTAAACTAAAAATTTGTGTTTTCGTATTATAATTTGTAGTCATTCCAGAACGAAAAAAAAATTTATATTTTCTTCCTAATTTTTTATTGAGGTTACGAAGTCGGTCAAACTGAACCAACCCATACAGAAATACAGTAGTGAAAATAACAAATAAAATGTAGAGTTTTTCTACAAAAAAGTTGTTAATTATCTGAACATTATAAATATTTTGCATGTGAAATTTGAAAATGTTCTAATGCATTAAAGTATTTCTAATCTTATAATCAAAATTACTTTCCATGTTGGATAGTCAACATTGTGAAAGAAAAAATTTTATGTGAAAATTTTTAACTAAAAAATCTTATTACTTAATTTAAAAACCTGATATTTTGTGTACAAAAGCCTTTTAATCTTTACCAATAAAATTAAAAATTTTGTAAAGATGTGCATACATTATCAAAAACCATAGTATAATCACTCACATGGATACTTTCATTGTTATGAGCAGGGTGGATTCCACCCAGCCCGTAATGGAAGGGTTAATGTAGGTGGGGGTATGTATAAACTTAACTTTTTGAAGTTGCATAATAATGAATATCTAAAAAATTTAATCAAGTTGCAAGAGTCCCTTAAATTTTTAATAGCAATTATCAAAACAATACATTATTAGCTGTGCTGTGATAAGGTAATGTATATATATCTTTTAATAGCTCTACTGTCTGTGATATTGCAATAAACAGAACATGACATTCAGTTTTGTGTTCTATTAAAGTTATATAATTTAAATTTCATAAAATATTGTAATTTTAACAATTAACTAGTTTACTTGTTTATATAATTTTTTTAAACTTTGTTTTGTGCATCTATTCTAAGAATAAGTTTATTAACAATCAGTACAAAGAGAAAAAGAGCATACCAATACCTCCCATGTACTGTTTAAGTTAAATGCTATAAAAGCATCTTATTTACATATAAGTTTCATACAACATATTAATCTATACATAAACATACATACAGAAAGCCCAGCTATTGTTTTTACAAAAAGAGTAAACAAAAACAAAGATATTTCTTTGGAAATTATTTGTATAATGAAACAAAAACATACTTTAGAAGCATACTTATGTTCTTTAACATTCTGTAAAATAGTACCAAATACAATAGATCCAATAAATACTTATATTGAGGATAGCGTTATTTGTTTACTTTTGTTCTACAGTAAAATATAATGGTCAGAACTTCAAATTTCACAAAATATGTTATTCGTTGGTGTAGTAATACACGTTTTAAGTCTTACGTAATTATTCAGACCATGGGCAGTGCTACTTCTGTTATTCAGGCCAAGAGAAGAGTTACTTCACATTAAAACAGCAATTGCTATGACCATTCTCTTTCCAGAGAGGGTATGCTAACCACAAATTACTGGTAATTATTACCTTCTTATTCGTGAAGTGGTGATGCCTCCGAGGTAAGAAAGGTTCCTAATGACTTTATATTGTAGTTCTCCATTGTGTATGAAAACCAGAACTCATGGCAGACATTTTTCAATATATGTGTGTGTGTGGGGTGGGGATTTTTAAAATCTTAGGTTCAAAATCTTTGAGCTTGAATAAACCAGACTTGAATATACTAACATTTATATAAACATACTTAATATATATGCATACATATATAGCATGTACAAACACACACACAGACCACTGTTACATTACTTGTATTTAGCTTAGACACTAAACATGCACTTTTTTTCATTCTCATAATAAAAATTAAAAGGTTCTGTGAATGTAATCTCACCTAGTATCCTTTTAAAATGAGAAAAAATGAGAGAAAAATCATAGTGGACATAAAGACTATAAAACTCATTACAAATAATAATTTTATTCATATAAACTATGAGAGTCTAATTCATATAAAATGATCAATCTCTCTACTACATCTAGTGACTATTAAAATTTTAGTATTTTGTTCTCCTTTTCTTTCTAATTTTTCTGGTTAAAATAAAAAGAGAATCTTTGAAAAGTTTTACTTTTGGAATAGATGTTAAAGCATGGAAACCCAGCTAATTTTATATATTTTTTCTGTTGTTGGTAACCCTTGTAACAAATCACGAAGATTACATGAAACTATGAGAGAATTGTAAAAGATTTATAAAAAACAACAACTAAATTTGATGATAAAGATGAAGACAGTTGATAAAACACAAAATGTTTTATTTACAAGGTTTGAACATTTTGGAATATACACGTTTCATCTTCAGCAAAATCTGAAAAATCATGTTACACAGATGATTATTAACTATATATATATATATTACACAACATTTGTAAGTTCTTAAGAGTCGGGTATATTCCAAAACCTCCAAACCTTGTAAATAAAATGTTTTGTGTTTTATCAACTGTCTTCATCTTCATTATTAAACTAAATTTAATATTTAAGCACAAACACACATTGGAAACATAATATAAAAGTACTTTATTCTAGGAATGGGAGAAAATTTATTATTTGTGTAAATATAACCAAATTAGATGAATCTAAACTGGATTATCATAAGTGGTAGTAATTTGTTTGATTTTTTACTTAGATGATTATTAATGTGGTGTATGAAACTGGAACAAAAATCCATGAAACAGGCAAAATTGTATG